CACCAGGGAAGTCCCTCTTCCCCTCTTTTAATGGTTCAGGAGACTTCAGCATCAGGCGAAGAAGGACAGGAAGTGATCCCTGAGAGATGGGAGACAGTGGCTCCAGTTTACTGCCTGGAAAGAATTCCCAAGCAAAGCAACCAGTGTGAAAGTGTTAGTTGCTCAGTTGTGTCTGACTCTTTGCAACCCCATGGACTGTAGCCCGCCAGGCTCTTCTGTCCATGGAATTCTCCAGGCAAGAATGCTGAAGTGGGTTGCCATTTTCTTCTCCAGGGGATCTTCCTAACCCAGTAATCGAACACGGGTCTCCTGCATTGCAGGAAGATTCTTTATTATCTGAGCCACCAGGGAAGCCCCTTTTAATAGTGGTGTTTGATAAAAACATGTTATTAATTTTAATCTAGTTTCAATTACCAAGATTTTTGCCTTCTGTTTAGTGCTTTTCAGATCCTATTAAAAATTCTTACTGACCAAATGAAATTAAAGATGCAATGAACTGGTTTATTTTTTCTACAAATTTTAAAAAATGTTTAGGCAAAAAAATTTTAGCCAGCCCTGAAGAATACCAGTTTCCTCATGAGTGTATTCTAAAGATGATTGTCCTCTTTCATTCACAAAAGCACCAGCAAAGAGTCAAGTCTTACACAGCTCTATTCCAGAATATTTTTTTCCTTCCTATCAAGCCCAGCAATTCCATTGAGTATATTTCTTAGCCCATTTGTTTGTAATCCCCCTGTCTTCTGTTTTCAGAGATAACGGAGCCCATTAGAGTTGAAGTTCTCTCACTTTCTGCTCTCCACTGTTATCCCACAAGATAGATCCTCATCTGTATTTATTTCTCTTCTTCATGTGTCAGAGGAAGATGTAGGTTTATCCCACCTTAAAAAAAAACAATTTTTTTATTCTCAATCCCTACCACTTACCTTTGTTTCTATCCTCCTTAAAAAAGAAATGTCTTACACATGTGATAAAATTGCATTGAACCAAATACACCCACACAATGAGTGCATGTAATACTGGTGAAGTCTAAATAGGGTGAATGGATTGTATCAAATTCTGTTTCCTAGTTGTGAGATTGTACTATATTTATGCAAGGTGTTGCCTTTGGGGGAAACTGAGTGAAGGGTATACTGGATCTCTCAGTAGTATTATTTTTTTACAGTTATAAGTAAATCTATAATTATCTCAGCATAAAAAGTTAAAAGATTCTTTCTGAAATTTCTATAACTATAATGACTGAATCACAAGCTGGAATCAAGATTGCTGGGTGAAATAACAACCTCAGATAAGCAGATGACACCACCCTAATGACAGAAAATGAAGAGGAACTAAGGAGCCTCTTGATGAGGTGAAAGAGGAGAATAAAAAAAACTGGTTTGAAACTCAACATTCAAAAAACTAAGATCATGGCATATGATGCCATCATTTCATGGCAAATAAAAGGAGAAAAAGTAAAAGTAGTGACAGATTTTATTTTCTCGGGCTCCAAAATCACTGTTGATGGTAACTGCAGCCATTAAATTAAAAAATGCTTGCTTCTTGAAAGAGAAGCTATGACAAATCTAGACAGTGTATTAAAAAGCAGACATCACTTTGCTAACAAAGGTCTGTATAGCCAAAGCTGTGGTTTTTCCAGTAGTCATGTAAGGACATGAGAGTTGGACCATCAAGAAGGCTGAGTGCCAAAGAATTGATGCTTTAGAATTGTGGTGCCAGAGAAGATTCTTGAGATCACTTGGATAGCAAGGAAATCAAACCAGTCAATCCTGAAGGAATTCAACTCTGAATATTCACTGGAAGGACTGATGTTGAAACTGAAGCTCCAATTCTTTGGCCACCTGATGCAAAAAGCTGACTCACTGGAAAAGACCCTGATGTTGGGAAAGATTGAAGGCAAAAGGAGAAGAGGGCAGCAGAAGATGAGATGGTTAGATAGCATCACTGAACCAATGGACATGAATTTGAGCAAACTTCTGGAGAAGGGGCTTCCCTGGTGGCTCAGAGGTTAAAGCGTCTGCCTGCAATGAGGAAGACCCGGGTTTGATCGCTGGGTCGGGAAGATCCCCTGGAGAAGGAAATGGCAACCCACTCCAGTATTCTTGCCTGGAGAGTCCCATGGATGGAGGAGCCTCTTAGGCTACAGTCCATGGGGTCACAAAGAGTCGGACATGACTGAGCGACTTCACTTCTGGAGATGGTAAATGATGGGAAAGGATGGCATGCTGCAGTCCATGGGTTCACGAAGAGTCAGATTCCACTTAGTGACCGAACAAGAATAGCAATCATGTATTGAGTGCTTACTGAATGCTAGGTACTCTACCAAGCAATGTCAGGTGAATACTGTTGTTAATCTATCTCATTTTATACATGATAAAACTGAGGCACAGAGAGGTTAAGTCATTTATACAGGGTTATCCAGCTAATGAGTGGCAGAACTAGCATTCAGAAACCATGGCTTAACCTCAGAGAGAGAGCTCTTATGAGCTCTGCTATATTTCCTTTATTTCCTTTTTTTTCTTGTTCCATACTTAATGGATACTACTTTGACATTTCATATTTTCACAGGTGTTTGCCATACATTTTGTTTAGTTACTCTTTTTTTAATTAACTTTTACTGGCATATAGTTGCTTTATATACACTATTGATACTATATACAAAATAAATAATAAATGATAACATACTGTATAGCACAAGGAACTCTACTTAATGCTTTACTTGTACATCTATCTTTATATGCTGCCTCCTAGTCACATTTCAACCACCGCTTTATAGTTCAGCATTCATCCCAGTCACTCCCCTGAAACTGATTTTGGCCAGATTACCAAGTCTGTTGCTAAAGCTAATGGATTCTTTGTGGTCCTAACCATTCTTTCTGCAGCCTTTGTTACTGTTGATACATTCACCAGATATTTATTGAGCACCTGTAGTGTGCCAGACTCTTGTTTTACAGCAGTGGACAAGGTAGGCAAAATGACTGTAACTGCAGAAGACGTATGTCTTCATTTGTTATGATTAAGAGGTCAGAAATCTTAAATCACTGCCGAGTTGTTTGTGGATGGTCAACAGACCACTTTATTGTTCCATGCTTTTGTTTTTCTGTGGCTGAAACGGGTTATATTTTTATTTTATTTGTGATTTCACAAGAATAGTTAGCATGTACTATATTTAATACCATTTTCACTTTCTCCAGATAGAAATCTGATCGCTTCCAAGCAGTAGCCATGAATATGAATAAATTAAGAGAGCCAAATCCTAAAGTATAGTACCTTTCTGATGTACTTATTAATGATAAATTATGAAAATTAATTGCCTTTGACCAAAAACTCTTACTTTTTTCTATATAAGAATAGTTGAATTAATTTTATGCCACATTATTTGGAAACACCAGGAAGATCTCTGCAGAATATTCAGTAGGTCTCATTCCATATATCCAAATATAAAGCTACTCCAAGGAAAATACTTGACTTTATAGAGACGTCGTGGTAGCTGTTTGCATATCACCAAAGCTGAGCTCTTGAGCCCTAGTTGAAGGAAAGGGATCATCTTGTCTCTTTCCACATGTTCATGGTTATTTTCAGTGTTTTTATTCCTTTCCTAATTCAGTAAAGAAGGAAAAAAAAGTCTCTCCTAGTTTTTCATGTCAAAAAACAGCTCTTATTTTATTAGCTCAAGTGGCAATTTGTTTTGCTGGTGACTGGAAGCGACTGTAACCCTCTTGCTTCCAGCCAGGGTTCCTGTTTCTGTCTGATAGCTGTTTGTTCACAGCAGCAGTTAGCAATTTGCATGGACAGTGCTGTCAAAGCCACTGCCCTCGATGAACCCCAAATGCCTCTTGGAAGAAAGATGACAGATTCAGCCCAGCAACTTGCAAAACTTTAAAAGCGATTCCTTGTCAAACATGTGAAAAACAACTCTTCCCTCTCCATGACTTGAGGGGGAAAAAAAAAAAAAACCGAGAAACTATCTTATGCCAGATGGCGATTCCTTGCTAGTAAAATAGGCCTGGGCTGATTCAGCTTCATTCCTTTATGTTCCATTTGCAAAACCCACAAAGAACACATTTGGGGCCACTTTCCAGAGCTGGCAACAGCCTCTGCTTTTTAAGGAAATCAGATGGGCACACACACACAAAGCCACAATGGATGAAGGGCTCAAAATCCCCAGGGTCCTGAAACGGGATGCATAGGCCTTAAATTCTCGGTGACCAGTTAGAACCTGGCCCAGACCCAAGAATCATCCCAATTGTTGCCAGATTTGGTGACTTGATTTAATTTGGTTAAAACAAAAACAAATTGGGAAAAGGTTATATATTCTTGTTGATTAAACCTCTTCTTAAAAAAAAAAAAAAGGAAAAAATAGAAACTATAAAAACACCCTTTCAGATGATAAATTGACTCCTAAATTTCAAACTGCTCTGGGTCTAAAGGCCTCAATCTTTAATTTTCAGTCCAGTACCTTTTTTTTGCCGTTTACATGTAAGATGTTACAGCTGCTTTCATATATTTAGAGGATTGGACCAGTGTGTATGCGTGTTTATGCGTGTGCATGGGTGTCTTTTCTCCTTGGCTTTTATTTTTTTTTACATATAGTTGACTTATTATATTAGTTTCAGGTATACAGCATAGTGATTCCATATTTTTATAGATTACACCCCATACAAAGTTATTATAAAATCCTGACTAGATCCCCTGTGCTGAAATAGATGCCTCAGGACATAATGAAGTCCCCTCACTGAAGATACTGAAGCAATGTCTGGTCAGCTGCTGGCTAGGGATGTTGTGAAGAAGATTGAAATACTAGACTAGTAATGGTATTGGGTAGTTTTTAAGATGTCTTCTGCATCTAAAATTCTATGCATTATGAATTAACTCCCTTGATTTTTTAAATTACCATGATCTGGGATATTTTAGTCAAGGTAATACCTGTTGTCCATTTAGTTTTGCCTTATATGCAAGATGATATTGACCACCTTTGTTAATGTTCTATTTTCTTTCTTCAGGTGTCTGAGCACACACAATTAAGTTGGATCCTTACCTGCATGGTCAGATTACCTCGATTACAACATTTACACCAATGGAAGGTAAATGCCAGTGATCTGATTAATAAACAGAAAGAAGTTCAGTCCCCACTGCAGCTATTTTCCCCCTCTGTTTATTTTTGTGTTAGGCTCTGGGAATCCTGAGTTTTTTGGCTTGCTATGCACTAGTGGCTAGCAAGACCAGTATCTTTAACCTCATCGCTTCAGGATATGAAACAGAAAATAAAAGGTTTCTCCAAGATTCTTTCGAACTGAAAAAGTGGTTTAAAATATCCATTATTTGATTTTATCTGTGCCTGGTCAGTCCTGAGTGACCGTTAGATAGACTTGGTAATAACTTTGAATGTGGCACGTTCTAATTAACAAACAATCACCATTTCTGGATTACTAGACCCTGAGGTTGCCTCCACCAGAATTAACTGGCCATTAAGGCCTGAAGGTTATCATTGTGGGGAGAAGAGACTACATATTTTATTCCACATTTAAACAAATTGAGTCTAAGCAACAGTTCAAACTCACAGAAAAATTAAGTCTGTTCTTTTTCTAAGAAGTTCAACTGAAAAATATAAATTGGGTAATTCATAGTATTCCCATGTAATTTTGCAACTGGATCACACCTGAAGGTACATAGCCCTCCAGGACATGAACACTAATTTTAGTATCAGGCTTCTTTCTAGCATATTTTCAGGGCCACTGATTTCCTTAAAAGCTTGTTCAGAAGGCTTCACATACACTACAGAGAGAAACAGAGCTTTAAACTGGCAGTACTTGAATAAGACATACTGGTGGTGCTGTAGAATCATTACCTGCCAGGAGTTAGAAACAAAATTTGATAATGTTCTCTATCATATGTTGGTTTGCGGCAAGACTTTCCCATTTTATCATAATATGGTAATGCTAAACTGAACACTGAAACACTTTTAAAAGAACTGATTTAATGGGAAATGCTCCCACTTTAAAATAGTGTCTAAGGATCTCCTGGTAACATGTTGCCAGTGAATGCATTCTGAATAAGCCTTCCACTAGTCTGTGATTTCTTATTTGTGGGGAAAATACGGATTTCAAAGCTAGTCTTATCCTAGAGCTTGAAAATGCCTTTGAGCATCATTCTTTCATTAACAAATACTGATGATGCCTTCTGCTAGTCTCATAGCACGGTAAGTGCTGGAGATATCACAGTCGCCAAGATGGATCAATGCAGCACCTTTCGTGAAGTTTGTAGTCTGTTTTGGAACAGATTCCCAGGTGGCACCAGTGGTAAAGAACCTGCCTGCCAATGCAGGAGACTTAAGAGATGTGGGTTCGATCCCTGTGTCAGGAAGATCCCCAGGAGGAGAGTATGACAATCCACTCTGCTCTTCTTGCCTGGAGAATTCCATGGAGAGAAGAGCCTGGTAGGCTACAGTCCATAGTGTTGCACAGAGTTGGACACGACTGATGCGACTTAGCGTGCATGCACAGTTAAACAAAAAATCAAAGTATGAAAAGTTTTAGGAGAACAAGGTTCCAGTTCTATGGGAAGATCTAAGAACCCCTAGCTTGGTTTTGATTGGGGCAGTGAGGGGCAAAACAGCGGGGTAGAAGCATAGGATCAGGGCTGCTGAGATTGATGAGCTAACACAGGTGTGAGGCATCTGGGGCCCATAATAGGTATCCAATAAATATTAGAACTCCCCACATCTCCCCACTTCCTTTGTGGTTTCAAGATCTAGTATTCTAATATAAAAAGACTATAAATCTAATACAGTAGCAATTTTCAAAAGTTGGGTTCTTTTCTCATTTGTTTGTTTCCAAATTAAATTTTTGTTAGAATTACCTGATAATCAGTGCAAACTGAGCTTTATCATGGACATTATAATGAGATGTACTGAAGGAATTGTATGGTCAACTTTCAAATTTCCTATGAATAGCCTATAGCAGTAGTAGTGCTATAAGCCAGAAACTGGGCTTCCCTGGTGGTTCAGTGGTAAAGAATCCTCCTGCCAATGCAGGAGACACGGGTTTGATCCCTGGGTTGGGAAGGTTCTCTGGAGAAGGAAATGGCAACCTCCTCCAGTATTCTTGCCTTGGAAATCCCATGAACAAAGGAGCCTGGCTGGCTATAGTCCGTAGGGTCGCAGAAGACTTGGACATGACTTAGAGACTAAGCAACAAAAACAAGCCAAAAATTGCTTGAAGTAACCAGAAAAGCCTGTAACTAAATTATGGAACATTAAGACGATTAAAGGGAGAAACTGTGGTATTCAGATCCAGCCTCAAAACGTATGTCTGCATTTTCGTTTAGGAAGCCTGAGCTGTGAGGGCATGTATGAGCTTGATTCTCGGAATCACACAAGTTTATAAATTGAGTTGTTCATTTCATTCAGGAATCACTGGATTTCAGAGAGGTAATTCATATTAGATAAACAAATAAAACTTATTTACACACCAAAATATCAATTTAGCGTGTGTGCTTAGTTGTGTCCAACTCTTTGCTACCCCATGGACTGTAGCCCACCAGGCTCCTCTGTCCATGGGATTCTCCAGGCAAGAATACTGGAGTGGGTTTCCATTTCCTTCTCCAGGGGATCTTCCTAACCCAGGAATTGAACCATTGGCCAGCAGATTCTTTACTACTGTGCCTCATGGGAGGCCCCATTTATCGGTTTACAGGTATGATATACCTAGACCTTGGAAGCAGTTACCAGTGAATTGCAACAACAGTCCCTGCTAATAAGCGACTCTACCCAGAAAGCCAAATTTCCTGTAGCAAGGGGGTTAGTACCACTAGGGCTGATACTCATGGTGTGCATACCAGTAGTTTATAGTCAGCACCCAGTACTCACCAGTTGTTAAATATTTCTTATATCACCTCTGGTGTTTCCATTAGCTTTGCTGTTAAGGAAATATTTTGGTCTATACAACCTGTACTGTTCATTGAAATCACTTTACTCTTACTGCTTTCCCACCTGAAGATCATGACAGATCATTAGAATTGGTTAAGATGAAAATTCCTCTTAGTTTTGTTGTTTTTTAACGCCATGATTTTCAGGGTTTTGTTTTAATGTGATGTTAAGGGGGCATTACAGTTTTGTCAATAGCACAGTATGAGACTTCTGGAAAGTTTCCGCAAACAATTTGATGTTAACTAATATAATTCCATGATATTTTCTGACCTTCCCTGTGAAATCTGGAATTTATCTGATTTGGAGTCTAGAAAACCTTGGACCTTTATTTTAATAAAATGGAAAAGAAATAGTGGCAGTGCAGGATCGTTTCAAGGTACAGCGGGGAAGAGGATTCACCTTATTTTCCTGCCTAGGCCTGGAATGTGGAGACAAGCCAGCCGGAAGATGGCCAGATTTGCTAAAAGGAACTGAGTCAGGATGTTGTTACAGGTGGCTTCAGATCACCCTTTACTTGCTTTTAAGATTTCTTAATTTAGCATTATAATTAGGCTCATGTCAGATTTGTTTCTCTCCTGTCTTCACCCTACAGGCAAAGACTGCCAAGGAGAAGCAGAATGGAACCGTGGGGCTGCTCACATACCCGGTGCTCCAGGCAGCTGACATTCTGCTGTACAAGTAAGGAGCAGCGCTCAGCCAGCCCTAAATGAGTCATGCTGACAAGAGAGTGTCACCTGGCTCTGAAAGATTTAGTTCACGGGGAAGGATGGTTACAGCACAGGGCAGACACATAAATCTATTTGCATCTATTCCCCGGTAATAATGCTAAATCAAACCGGTCAATCCTAAACGAAATCAACCCTGAATAGTCTTTGGAAGAACTGATGCTGAGGCTGAAGCTCCAATACTTTGGCCACCTCATTGGAAAAGATCCTGTTGCTGGGAGAGATTGAGGGCAGGAGGAGAAGAGAACAACAGAGGATGAGATGGTTGGATGGCATCACCAACTCACCAATTCAATGGACATAAATTTGAGCAAATTCCAGGAAATAGTGAAGGACAGAGAAACCTGGCGCTTTGCAGTCCATGGGGTTGCAAAGAGTCAGAGACGACTGAGTGACTGAACCACAACAAATAGAAATATGTTTAAATGTGAAACTAATAATTTTAAGAAGTAGCATTTAAATAGCACTCACTATGGGTTGCAAACAGTCATAAGTAATTTATATACATTAACCCATTTAATCCTCACAACAACCTTTAGAATCTGTACCATCAGAATCCTCATTTTACTGATGTGGAAACCAAGCACAGAGTGGTTAGTAACTTGCCTGGGGTCAGGTGATAGCAAGGCCTGGACCTAGGATTTGAGTCTATGAAGGTAAGGTACAGAGTCTGTGTTCTTAACCAGTATAGGATATAGCCTTCCCTAGTAATAATTTCACTTCAAGAGTTTTAAATATTGATTTCTCAGATAATCTAGCCTCCCAAGAAATGCTATTCCATAGCACTTGCTGTAGCTATGGAAATGCTCTCTATCTGCTCTAAGACCAGAGCTGCTAGTCACATGTGACTGTTAACACTTGAAATGTTGACAGGAACTGAATTTTAACTTTAATTTAATTTTAGTTGGTTAAAGAGCTGCCTGTGGCTAGTGGCTACTGTACTGGACCTGAGAGCAAGTTTTTCAACATGCTATAAGGTGCCCTCACTTTTCCTGAACCCATAATCTATAAATCAGCTACTGCCGCCACTTACAGGTCTCAAGACTCTACAACCTGAGGATGCCAATGCCTTCCACTCTCTGTAGGGCTGGCCAGGGCTTCTGACCCCATTCCTCTTCCAGTTCTTCCCTGTTATCCGCACATCACCTCCCTTGACACCTATTTGGCCATTTAGAGATAAAGCCTCCCAGTCAGCAGGCACTCATGGCCAAGCATTGTTAAAGTGAAAGCTTCTGAGGAAAAGGAGAAATTCTATGAGTGTTTTTTACTCCCTTCCTCTAAAGCCCTGACCCCCATAAAAGTGCTTCTTCTGTGGGAAAACTGGAATTCTTTGCATGTAAATGTGATAATAGCGTGGAGATGATAGTGCATGTTCCTTGTGACATGACCCCAGAGCCCTCGTGCAATGATGGTGGAAACAGGCAGAAAAATAGTTGCTCAGCTTTGCATATAAGGAATGTCCATTAGTACATACAAGCTGTCTTCATTTCATTAAGTTTGATTCACGTTATGATTATGTGTCTGTTTGCTATTTTAACTTGAATGCTGAGCCCCTGATAGCATTTATTACTTATAATAAGAAACTTTTGACTTATCCTGGGAAATCTAGAACATTTTTCTCCAGGAGAAGCAAATGAAAGTCTAAGAAGGATCTAATAATATAGTTCCCCACTGAAGTAGCATATTTACTTAGAAAGGTTCTACAAAGGTTCTTGATTTTGTCACCTGTAAAGATGAGAAAAATCCTTCCTAAAGGATTATAATGAAATATGTCCCTTGTCTATGCTTGATGGTGATATCTCTGACTATCACAGTCTTATGTCTAGTTCCATTTTTAAGGGCTTCTTCTACATAGAACCAGAGGCTGATTTTTCAGCACCAGGGTTTGGAAGCACACAAGCACAGCAGATTTCTTTAACAGTTCAAGATCTCTCATGGGAGAGTCCTCTAAACTCAGCGCTATGAAAAAAAGGCGAACTTGAACAAGAACGATTGACCTTTTTGTAATACCATGGAACAGAGTGGGAGGGAGCTCTAAAGGGCCTCTTCTCCAAATCCCTTGCTCTACTAATGTGGCCCAGGCAGGCTAAGCAATCTGCCCAAAACTGTGGAGCCAGACAATGGACAGAGCAGGCTCGGGTATGATCATGGTCTCCTGAGGCCAGTGCTCACCCTCCTTCAGGAGCCCGTCATAAGTTATGTTAGGAGGCGAGATCATCACATGAATAACCAGAGCAGCATGAGATCATGTATACCAAAGTGATGGTGAATTTGTTTTCATCGGTTGCCCAAAAATATAATTGGCAGAATGATAAAAATCCTACAGTTTCTTTCATCTCTAAAGTGGGTTAATGGTACATAGCTCAGGGTCATATTAAATTCTGTGTAAATTGATATCACCGAGTATATACTCAGTACAGAGATTTTAAGAGTACAAACAACAATTTAAAAGACTGACATTGGCAAAAATAGCTCCTTAACATCCTCAAATTTATCATGTCATCTACCTTTCTTTCACCCCAAGTGTGAGGTTGAGAATGTCCTCCTTTCTTACATAAAACAATAGTTATTTCAGATGTAGCAGGTAAACACCAAGAGCTTTCCAATAGCTTCCTGTCTGTCTCACTCTGCCCAGCATCAGCAGGTTCTCACAGTTGGTTAAGACTTAAGGATTAGTAGTTCTTTTCCACCCTCAATTATCCCCCTGTATCAAAAAAAAAAAAAAAAACTCATACTATAAATATTCCTTCTTTAACTCTTCATGATCTATTTAGTGGTTAGAATATACACTAAGAATGCCATTAGATTCCCTCATTTTTCCTATTTTCTGAGAGGAAAATTACGGTGGCAGATTTTTGTCTATTCCTGTCAGGATTCTGATATATTAATTTATTAAACAAAAGTATTTTTCCATAAAACTAGGAACTGGAACTTCCCAGGTGGTCCAGTGGTTAAGTCTCTGTGCTCCCCATTCAGGGGGCCTGGGTTCAATCCTGGTCAGGAAACTGGTTCCCACATGCCGCAACCAAGGTTTGCATGCCACAGCTAAAAGACCTCACATGTCACAGTGAAGATCGAAGATCTCACCTGACACAACTAAGACCCAGGGTAGCTAAAATAAATAAATAATTTTTTTTTAAATCCAAGGTAATTATCTATATTCAAGATGATTGTCTCCTACCTTAGCCTAGAAGCTATCTACCTGTAATGCCACAATCAGATCAAAGATGTGGAGCTAGAAACTGCATGCTCCTTTTCTTAAGAGAAACAACCCTATGTTTCTGTCCTGTCTGGTCTCAGGCCAGACATCCTGTTACCAGCCACACATGCTCCAGCTCACAGACTCTGTCCCTTTGGACTTTTTTCTCCTGCCATCTTCCTTCAAACTATTCCCAGGAGTACTGTTGCCACGCTGTGCACACCCCCCATTTCCTGGGCATGTGTGTCCTTGGGGCCACTGCAAAGTGTGCAGACAAGTACAGTAAACTCAGCTCTGCTTACTACAACATTTACTCTGCTGACATACATGTCTCATCTGTCTTACTGTGCTTCCTTCCAAAGTTTAGAAACTCCTAATTGCTTGATAATAAGTACCAGAGGCAGAACTCAACCAGGTCTGATTTTTAGCCTGTACCATTGTTTTCCCTACAACAGAGCTCAAGCACTTGGGGTATTTTTTGTTTGAGATATTTCTGAATTTTGAAAACTATGATAACTAGAATATTTATGAATATGTACATTATAAATATAGATAAATACAAAAAAACAAAAATGTATACCAAAAAATTCATATTTTTTTTTCTCACTAGCAAATCTATATGTGGCCCCTCATAATATGTTGATGTGCAGAGTTATTATAGATTTCAAGTTTCTTTTGTCAAAATCGGCATTAGGATTAGTGGCCCATGATGGGCTAGAGAACAAACATGAGGGAAGGCAGTGGAAGAGGAGCTTTCCATTTAAGTGTATGAAAGATTTATGTAAGTGTTTTGGCAGAACTCGGTAAGAACCCAAGAATGGAGGTTTTGAGACCATCTTAAGCTTGAGAAAGTGAAGTGAAAGTGTTAGTTGCTCAGTCATGTTCAACTCTTGTGATGTCATGGGCTGTAGCCTTCCAGGCTCCTCTGTCCATGGGATTTCCCAGGCAAGAATACTGGAGTGGGTTGCCATTTCCTTCTCCAGGGGATCTTCCTGACACAGGGATCGAACCCTCATCTCGTGCATTGGCAGGCAGATTCTTTACCACTGAGCCACCTGGGAAGCCCCAGACAATTCAGTATACTCTCCTAAAAGCAGGGGGAAGGAATCTGTGCATTTTTAAGAACAGAGTGAAATGATCCGATTTATACTTTTAAAAGAGAATTGATTAATATACAAAGGATGAGTTGTAGGGGCTCAGCCAAGGTAGGTAGGCTACTAAGAGGCTCTTTCATTAGTCCATTTAGACCACGAAGGTGGCAGTGAAGATGAAGGGAGGAGACAAATTTAAAAGTTGCTAAGATGTAAGATGGATAAGACTTCATAATGGATTGGATATGTATGAGAAAAATCCGTCAGGGATGTCCCCAGGTTTCTGACTTAAACAGCAGGATTGATGGTGGTGTTGCCATTCACTAGATAGGGAATACTGTAGGAGGACTAGCCAGAAGATTTATAACTTCATGTGGTGTTTTCTCTTCTCCTGGAAGCTTTAACTCCCTACAAGTTAAAACCTTCTTTATGTCTCGCATAGTCCTGACACCAGGCCTTCCACAGCGTAGATCTTCAATAAATAATTGCTAAATTAAGGAGTCATTACAGTATATCAGACAAGCAACCAGTGGTGGTGATTTCATCCTTTATGAAAGGAAGAGCAGCACCAAAGCCCTATTCCAGCCAGGTTGGTTAAAGGCAGCAGCGCTGAAAATGCACAAACACAGCCAAAGAAGTAGAAAAAGAAAAAAAAATTTCTGT